GGTTAGTAACACCATAAAATTTGCGTTTGTGTTGGAGTTTCGGTCACGCTGGTTTTGCTGGGTTAGTAACACCATAAAATTTGCGTTTGTGTTGGAGTTTCGGTCACGCTGGTTTTGCTGGGCATCTGTTGCGAGCATGCTTGCGCACATGTTCGCCGTGTGTGGCCAGTGTAAGGGTAATTCTCATTTCTGAAATATACTTCAGATGTCGCTATTTGTTTAAAAAAAAAACCTTAGCGCCAGTTGCCAATGGAGATAATTGATTAATAAATTTTTCCTGAAATTTTTTTGAATTAGCTCAAATAAATAAATTATAATTATAATTGCATAAATTTATTAAAGCAACTGAACTAGACGTATAAATAAGCACAAACATTAAACGAATTAGTCGTGGCGTTATAGCTTCATTAGAAGCAGGGCCAATAACATAAATCAACAAACAAACAAACAAAGCAATTTAGAAACTTGCAAAATGTTTGGTGGTTTCCAATGTTCGATTCCGGCGGAAGCCGATCGCAAGGTGGATAAAATCAACAATATTTTCATAGAGACTGTGATGGAGCAGGAGCGTCGAGTCAAGGATTTAAAAGCTCAAGAAGTACAAATGACGGCCGAAAACACGGGTGTACGTGCTCAGCAAGAAATCCCTGATATTTCAATAGAATTGAAGGCACAGAAAGTAGAGGACTTTTTAAATAAGAAACGTCGTCAGCAGCTACGACAAAACAATTTAGAGCTACGACAATTAGAGAAGCAACTTAAAGCTGCATTTATTTCTAAAGAGCTTGTGGAGCAGAAGGAAGCAGCGGATAAACTAAAGGAGGAGCAAATGAAGAGCAAGCGCTTAGAAGATATTGAATTCGAAAAGGAGCAACTGCGCTGCAAAGAGGCGCTTATTGAATCTGAAAGGAAAGAATGGAAAAAGAAGGAAGAATTTCGGAGTGTTCTTTTAAGTCAAATGGCGGAATCACAGCAAAGACGAAAAGATGAATATACAGAGGTTCTAAAGGACAGGGATTTAATGCAAAAATTATTGCATAAATATAAGACTGAGCACGATTCGGAATTGATGGAACTTGAGAGGAGGAAAGAAAGTGCCAAAAAGGAAATGGACGAATTTAAACGCAAACAAGAGGAATATAAATTAATGCAAATGTCTCAAAAGATAGATGAGGTAGAGCGATTCCAGGAGATGATGAAGGAGCGCGAGGAGAAGAATTTGCAACTGAAATTGCAAAGAGAAAAGCAGACCCAAAAGAGGGCAGAATTGAGTGATCGTATTGGACAAGAATTATACAAAGTTGAGGTCAGTTTATACATACGTACATATGTACTTAATATTTCCTCTGCCAGATTATGTAATGTGTACTTTTTAGAGCGAGAAACGAAGACGCGAAAACCTATTGCTCGATTTATTGGTGGAGGAACGCAACACCAATGAGGATATGAGATATAAACAAAACCTTGAGAAGCAACATAATGATCGTATTCAAATGCGTATGGAATTTGAACGTTATCGTAAGGAACGAGAGCGGCAAAAACTAGAGCGCGAGCAAAATGAGGATGCCACATTCCTTGCTGAGATGCGGAAACAGCTGGCTGAACGTGATAAAATAGACCAATTAGCGGATGAAAAACGTCGTCAAAAGATAAGAGAACATGGTCGTGTTATTCAAGAAATGATAGAGCTACGCCGACGTCAACGTGCCGCTGATGCTGCAGAAGAGATTAAATGGCATGAATTCTTGAATAAAGAGGAACGAAAGCGGTAAGCCCAAATAATGATTTTGATATGACAAAAGAACTTAAAATTTTTTTTTTAGCCTGGAGTTGGTTGAAAATGAACGTATGGAAATGCTTAAAAATGCTCCGGTTGACGTCTTGCGCTACCTGCCGTCTGGCGTTCTAAAGGACATGGACCGAAAAGTTCTTGGCCTTTCCGACAAAAGCTAGTAATTACTTTCAGTTTTTTTTAATTAACTTCCGTTGGGATTTCAAATGTAAATTTTTTAGTACCTAATACATATTTTGCAATAATGTAATTTAAAAAATTACACATGTATTAATGTATCTTATCTAATTCCAGAAACTGTATTCGCAGAGCAGTTTTGATTCCTTGGAAATCTTCTCCAATATATTCGCATATTAATTACGGGAATTCACATTAAGAATCGAAATGTCTTAAAGCTGTAAAGTTTAGCAATTCAAAATAACGGTTAAAAGGGTTTTAGGGGATCCGCAGTGTATAATCAGAGCTACATACACATATAGAAAACCATATCGATACTTTTCTTTCGATACATTGGGAACACTTGAAAAACTTTCTTTTTAAATGAAATATTGGTACAATCGAATGCTAGCTTCAATTTGCAACTCCATTATTGGCATTTATGCAATATTCTTCATCCAAATTAATTACTTTACGCAGAAAATATTGGGTAGGTTTAGAAGGCGCAGCAGTTGAGCGCAACCGTTGCTAAAAAGCCAGTGATCGTTATGCGTCTTCTGAACGGCTTGATGCATTAGTTGGTACTTAAAGTTAGTTGCAACTTTATTGAAAGATAACCCATCCAAAATGATGTCAAAAAGCTACAACTATAAGTACTAACTTAATTATGACTATGAATAGGCCCTATTAAATATAGTTTAAAGACCATAAGGACCTACCTTAATAATGAAAGATTGATTTAAAAAACTTAACGTATTTACTTATTCTGCTTTTTTAAGTGAATTTTTTTATTAAAGAAACAAAATGGAAAATTTTCGTTTGTGAAAATAATCGATTGTTTTGAAAACCTATCGATAGTGAAAAATAAACCATCGGAAGTATCGATAGCGCCATCTATAGTTTGCCACCACTAGTCTCTACCTAGTTTCCACGCTAGCTTTGTTTCTTAACAGATAATTATCACAAATTATACCTAATTTCAGCTGGCAAGCCCAAAAACTAGCAGCTTCCTCTCGTTCTTACGCTCTTATTTTTTTTTGCTGTCAAAGTGGATAAACAAAAGCTCTGATCCAATACTTTTCGTGAAAAATCCTGTAAAACTGTCAAACAGCAAAATTACTCTCTGAAGTGAGAGCAAAAAGTGAGTAACAACAAAAATTACGGGAACAAAAACATTTTTCCTGTAAAAACGTCAACCAGTGATTGCTTGATACTTTTCATGATTTTACCAGAAGAAAAAGTTCGTGTAACATCTTGCAACTTCATTCTCTACACAACTCTCCAAAAGTCGCTCTCATTTACAGGATTTTGGAGTACGGGAACATTTTTCCTGCAACTTCTTGCAAGTTCGTGTAAAATCCGGTAAGTTCATTGAGTACTGGATCAGAACTAAAAATTCGGGCCAAATATTTTCAATAGTCAAATACATTGATCAGCTGTTTTCTTGCAAGTTTCTGCTAGTTTTGTGTTTCTTTAGGAGTGTTCGCTATGCAAAAAATTTGTACAAGTTGGTACCAATTGTTACCAAATCGTGTTCGTTTAGCCAAAAACCCAGTAAAACTTGCAAGGAGAGAGCACAATTTTGACATTTCATTTGGAGGGGAAGTTGCAAATTCGTGCTGGGAAAATTTTTGCCAGTAAAAATTTGCAAGCAGGATTGTGGCACACGGTTGTATTTTTGTCAACATTAATTTGAACCAACGGTGTCGTTAAATTTAAAAATGGACAATCTTGTTGCGATTTACTAATGAAAAAAAATGTAAATATTCGTTTATTAATTTAATTAATTCCAAACATTTGAAAGGTACTCAGCTGAAAAAGCTGTATTCGTAATCGGAACGCACTCGACACCACTGTCGATATAGGAAATCCGACAGTGACTTCCACAATCTGCCATACCTAAACAAAAGCGTTGGGCGGAGCGGTTTCTGACGCCTCGCGTTAGCGCCGAAGTGGTATACCTCAACAAAATCGTCAACGCTACGTCAAATGCAGAAATAACACCAACAATAAGCATAGGTTTGTTTGTGTGTAACACGAAAAAGACAGTTTCGCCGTTTTCTGCAGCCAACTTCAATACCTAACGCCCTGTCAAAATCGGATTTTCCAACCGCTCAGCGTTGACGCCGCGTTGTTTCGGTATGTTTCATACAAATTGTATGGGCATGAGAATTTTTTGACAGCCGGACAACGCTGACGCTTTTATTTAGGTATGGCAGAATGAAATTGAAGCGTATGTTGAAGAAAGTCAGAATAAGGGTCTGATTATGCATACTTCGCATAACTTCGCACAACCAATTGTACCAGTGCACTAAAAGTGTAACTTAAGAAAATGTGAAGCAAAATCTAAACTCAACAGATCGCTAAGTTTTTAGTAGTTCTACTAATTTCGGGGTAATGGAATACATACAAAACACATACAAAGTACATACGAAATTACAGTTTGAAGTTTATGCGAAGTTGTGCGAAATAATTTAAAAAATTTATTATGCTCGAAATGCAACCGTGGACGCCAGCTGGCAGTGAAGCTTGCTAATGTTTGCTAATTCCTGTTCGCGCAAAACTTAGTAAGTTTCTCTCTTTGGGAGAGTAAGGTTCCTTGTTCTCTGAATTTTGTTACTGGCTAATTCTTACTGGCAGTTGCATAGCGAACACTCCTTATATCTTTATTTAGCTCTCTGTGAGCGCATGATGCAATAATACAAGGTGTTATCGGTTGGCAACTTCTCGCACTAATTCCGCCATATTGACTGCCTTAGCTGAAACAGTGTTACTTCTTGAACAATTCTTTGCCTAATAATATAGTTGAATTTTTTTATATTTTTTCTCAGTATACACATTTTAATTACTCAAAAAGGTATTATATCTTATTTTATTTCATTTCATTGCGAATATACTATAAAAAAGCAAATTTTTTAGTTTAGGAGAAAATATGAAAAGTTTATATTTTTCCCCCAAATGGGGATTCATTTCTTCCCGTTTTTCTTCTTTTTTTGTGAGCGCAATTCCCTCAATTCTTCTTCCTTATAATTTTCTGCTAGAAAAGAAAAGAAACAAAGCCGATGACTCGTTCTCGGTACTTCCTTTTGTTGACATACATCCAAATAGAAAACCGCGGTCAAAACAAAATATCGTGAACACATGCTGCAAACACTTGATTCGAAAAATTAATTTGCAAGCATGGATATCGCTTTAAATATAGCAACAGTACCTTCACCAACGCGAAGCGTACCAGTAAGTTTGGCCGACGCCAGTTAAATAAAAAATTGCTGAAATTAATTTTATTGCATCCCTTTCCAAGACTCCTGTGAAGAAGAAAACTTTCTCTAGAGGCACTGCGTCGAGCAATGAAGGATTCACGTTTTCATTTGGCGGTGCACAGCATAAAGTAAAAGCCATTGTAGCACGTAAGCGGCCAGCTAAAAGGCCTCAATCTTCCAACGTTAGCAAACAAACTCCTTCAGTTAAACTCGGAGTGCAAAATATAGTAAAAAATGGGGATAATATGGTTAGTTCAAGTATTTCTCAGAAGAGGGAGGAGCAAAATTCGTTTAAAAGCAAGCCTCCAAATATCGATGATGGGCTTATTCTTAATATTACGACCGATTCTGCTCCAATCATACGGCCCAAACCAAAGCCCAAATTAAGTCAAGCTGAGCGTTTGCGAAACAAGGCTATGCGTAATTCAAATGAATTTTCAAAAATAAAGGGTAAAAATGTGAATAAATTTTCGGATCGTCGAAGGCACCCTAACGATAGAAATGAACAAAACGAAAAGAGCGGAGAAAATGATCAGCAAAATGGAGTGAATTTAATAGCACGAAAAGCCAACGCATTCCGTGTAGTGCGCCCGTGCGACAAGTCAGTGAAAAAAGTAGGACTCTTTTCAAATAGTCCAGATACACCGGTTATGGGTCAACGTTTTGTGAAACCAATAACAGAACGACTTTTTGATGGCACAAAAGTTGACACTTTAAAAATTCATCCACATGCCGTAAAGAATTTGGCTGACATCTTGAGTATTGTCGAGCTTACTACAGTACAGAAGAAAACGATTCCCTTAGCGCTTGAAGGTGGGTTATTTATATTTTTCTAAAAAAAATATTTTTACTGATAACAATATGCAATTAAAATTTAAGGTAAAGACTTACTTATTCGCTCGCAAACTGGCTCCGGCAAGACTCTGGCTTATGCTTTGCCCGTAGTCGAAAAGCTACAAGATGTACGACCGAAAATTACACGCGACGCAGGAGTGCTAGCAGTAATCATTGTGCCTACTCGCGAATTGGCCATGCAAACATACGAGCTTTTCCAAAAATTGGTGAAACCATTTACTTGGATTGTACCTGGTGTATTGATGGGCGGTGAGCGGCGCAAGGCAGAAAAGGCGCGTATACGTAAGGGCATAAACATATTAGTTGGTACGCCAGGTCGCGTGCTTGATCATTTGCTGCACACAGAGACGTTCAAGGTGCATAAAACACAATGTTTAGTGTTAGATGAAGCGGATCGCCTACTGGAAATGGGTTACGAACTTGATGTTAAACAAATCGTCGAATTAATTGATACACAACGATCCAAATCTGTGGAGGAAAACAAAGATACTGTGCCGCACCTACAACGTTTGTTGCTGTCTGCAACGCTCACCGCTAATGTACAACGATTGGCCGGTCTCACCCTTAAAGAACCTATTTTCGTTGACAACAGCGATGAGGCTGTCACAAATACCAAACCGAAAACGAAAGGCTATATAAAGAGTGACATTGCAGCCCAAAATTCAGATATGCAGGATGATGGCGAAGATACCTCTATAATGACTATTCCGGAAAATTTGAAGTTAAATTTTGTAGTTGTTCCTCCCAAGCTGCGCCTAGTTACCTTGTGCGGTATTTTGACTAATGAGTTTAACAGAAAACAGCGTTTAAAGGCAATCGTTTTTATGAGTACCATGGAGATGGTAAACTATCATCATGATTTACTGAATGAGTTGCTGACTGAAAAAGTTCTCGACGACGAGGACAAAGAAGTTGTCAGAGACGAAGATGATAGTGAAAGTGACCAAGAAACAGCGCTGCTGAAAGGCTTGCGATTCTTTAGGTAAGATCAAAATTTTTAAGTTCACTATTAAAAGTACTAAAAATACATTTTTTTTAGATTACATGGTTCCATGTCGCAGACTGAACGTCAAGGTGTGTTCAACGGTTTCCGCGAATGCGAGTCGGGTGTACTGTTGACAACGGTGAAGAAATTTGAGATCTGCTTTTTTTAATAAAAAAAATAATAACTTAAATAACTACATGGAATAATTTCAGGATGTGGCAGGACGTGGTGTGGATGTCCCCAAAGTGGAACTTGTCGTTCAATATTCACCGCCCCAGAATATTGCCGATTTCGTGCATAGAGTGGGACGCACTGCACGTGCTGGTCAAAGTGGGCAAGCGCTTTTGCTCCTCACACCCTCTGAAGCACAGCTTGTACGTTTCCTAGAGGATCATCGTATCAGGTTTGTCACAATCAGTGCATTATAATTGCTCCTTTTATCTCAAAGTATATATATGTATTACAGAATATCACAAGTCGACATGGAGATTTATTTAAAAACTCTTAATGAAAAGGACGATGATGCGACCACAATACAAGAGGCGGCATCAAACCTTCAGCACAAAATTCAGGAACTAATAGCTGATGATAAGGAACTGCATAAAAATGCGTGTAAAGGTAAAACGATTATTTATTTTTGCGTAACTGTTGTGTCTGCTTAAGAAGAAAGTAGTAACTTTACTGTCGCGAATAATTACATGGGAATGGAAAACTTTGAACATTTTTCAACAAAGCTCTAAAATAAAACTGTTTACCGAGTTGTTGATGTTGTTGTAGCGGCTACCAAGTCCCGCTCGGGTCGGTCCATCCGTCAGCGTTGTCGTCTGTTTCAGCTAAGGGGAGGCCCAGGAAGTGTGCGACTTCAACAGGGTCTGTCCATAAGGACAGGGGCGTCAGCTGGGTGGAATTCTCAGGGCATGTGAAGGGTGCCGAGAAGCGAAGTTGGGCTAATGTGGTGCGGGTCTGCCGAGGCAGACTAAGTTCTGTACCGTCCACGTCAATTAGTTGTGTGCCTAGAACGGCATTCACAGGGTGGGAGTCTACATAACTCGAGACTGACTCCCTGTGAATGCCGTTCAGGGCCAGTCGGTAGGCTGACGGGTCCAGAGGTTGTTTAATGAACCTCTGGACTTCGCCCGTCAGTTGCTTGTGGTTGTTGTAACAGCATACAAATTCCCCAAAGAGATTTTGGGGAGTGTTGCGCGAGTGACAGTCCTTGACCAGATATAAATCTGGGTCGTTCCGGTTACGTAGACCCGACTGTCGTGGTAGACCCGTCAGTTGGTAGAGATGCCTCCTGACGTGCCTTGGCGAAGGCTCTTCTGCAAGCAGCTGTTTGCTAGGATGACCACGTCTGTGGCTCCCCACAAGAAACTGCTTGCAGAGCATTGTGTTATGCTCCTTGACTGGGAGAACCTGGGCCTCGTCGTGTAGTTGGTGTTGGGGCGTTATCAGGAGGCATCCGGTCGCTGTCCGTAGTGCCGCATTCTGGCAAGTCTGTAGCTTCATCCACTGCGTCCTGCTAGTCCCAAGCGACCACAGCGCTGCATAGTTTAGAACCGAGCGGCCAATTGCCTTGTTTGTTGCCAACAACGTTTCTTTATCATTGCCCCAAGTGCTGCCGGCCAGAGACTTGAGGACATTATTGCGGCTCTGCACTTTGTTAACAATTGCGGTTGCATGCGCCGAGAAGGAGAACAGACTGTCGAAGGTTACTCCGATGATTTGTTTCGCCATCGACGTGAATACCCAGTTGTAGTCTGACCTCCTTCGTCCAGGTGGTGAATAGAGTTGCCGAGGATTTCGCAGGGGATAGGTCAAGGCTCCTTGCAATGAAGAAGCGAAAAATTCGGCGAGATAACCATTTACTTTCGAGCACAAGTCATCAATTCCATTCCCAGACGCCATGATCGAACAACCGTCAGCATTCGAGACAATTTTGACACCCTCCATCGGGAAGGAAAAAGCCTCCAAAGCCATGGAATATGCATGCTGATGCTGAAAAATCTTGGTCCTGCGGGAGTAGCGTACCTAACGGAGGTCCTCAACATTGTTAATGGCCACTCTCATCATCCCCGACATCTGAAAGGTCCCTCTGCTTAAACCAGCGAAACCACCCAACAAAGGAGATTCTTATCGGCCGATAACACTCCATTTATCGGTAGCGATGATACTAGAGGCCTTGCTACTCCCGTATTTCACGAACTACTTGACCCGAGCGAAGCATCAGCATGGTTTCCATAAAGTGCAAAGTACAATAACAGCACCTAACGCCATAAACACTCAGATAACATGTGGCCTTAACCGCAACCGTCCTTGTGAGAGAACTATTCTGGTAGCGTTGGACCTGCCAAAGGCGTGTGATACCGTCAGCCACTCCACGCTACTAGAAGATATAGAGGTTTCCTCTCGGCGAATTATCTGAGTGGTCGACACTCGTCGGTAATGATAAGAGACAAATCGAGCAAACTTAGAAAAATAAAACAGGGGGTTCCACAGGGTGGTGTCCTTTCCCCGCTACTGTTTAAAGCTCCCTCAACCACCAATAGCCCAACTTCTGGCTACTGCAGCAGGTTAAACTCATACCTGGACAGACTAAACGAAGATGTGCCAAATGGGTCTTTGGCATGCGGAGAGACACCCCATGATTTGAAACATCTCTTCGTATACCCGGAAAACCCGCCAACCCTAACGCCTTTGTTCCTGTGGACCGACCCTAGTGGAACTTGACGACAACGACTGAGATATCATCCGATCTGGGAGGGGTTGTTGTAGCCGCTACAACAACAACAACAAACTCCTGTTTAATTTTTCGTAGTTTGCTGGTTTTGTCCCTACAAATTACTGACGAGTGTCGACCATTCAGGTAATTCGCCGACCACTGTTCAAGTCCCTGTGGGAGTGAGGAGGCCTCTATGTCTTCTAGCAGCGTTGAATGACTGACAGTGTCGAACGCCTTGGTCAGGTCCAACGCTACTAGAATAGTTCTCTCACAGGGGTGGTTCTACGTACCTGAATGACTCGGGTTTTAGCCGACCAGGGCTGTTGTTTCGGCGATCTAACCCTGTTAAGGTCGGCGAAATCCATTATGGAACCGAACACGTGGATAACGATGTTTAACCTACAGTTAAAGGCTCTGTTATGCATACTTGGCATTGCTTGAGAGTTGTTATATAAGAAATCTCTTAAGGGCTTGGTTAACACTAATCCCCAGTTAAACATCGTTAACGACTGTACTGAGTCCATTCATTTAACATTGGGTCGGTAACGTCGGTAACAATGTTTATCTGGGGATTTGTGTTAACCAGAGACGTTGAAAACGACCCTAAATGAGCTTCGCGTGTAAGCGGTTACCCAACGCACAGCATAACATATGTACGCAGAAGTCTGTTGGTTTTTGATTTCTACGTAAAAATGGTAAAGTAGTGCATGCACTGCCAAGTATGCATAACAGAGCCTTTAGGGCTGGTTATCACTACTTGCCGGTTAAACATTATTATAAAGCAGTCGTTGTATTTAACTAGAGCTTCTAGCTCCGATTAGGGCCGGTTGCTCAAAGCTTGGTTGACACTAATCGTCGGTTAACATCTTTATCGACGTTTCCGACTCCATGCATGTAACACGACGTCGTAACGTCGATAACGATGTTTAACCAGGCTTTGAGCAACCGGCCGTTAACCAGAGTTGCTGTAAACGGCCCTCTGGTTAACACGTGTTATTAGTACTAATCCCTAGTTTAGCATCGTTACCGACATTACCGACACAATGTTATATGCATGGAGCCAGCAATGTCGGTAAAGATGTTTAACTGGGGATTACTGTTACCCAGAGATGGTGAAAACGGGCCTAAGAAGAAGTCGAGAAAATGGCGCTTATTAGTTACTACTCGTCTTACCCAATATTTACATCTTCCATAGATTATGTTAAAAAAGTATTAGTTGGTATTTGAATTTAAAAACAACTATGTAATACATTTTTTCATTTTATTGAAATTTACTCACTATCAGCTTTCGTGTCGTGGACCAAATCGTATTCAACTTTCCCAAAGGAATTAAAACCGATATTTAATATCAAAAACGCACATATGGGACATTTTGCGAAAAGCTTTGGGCTGAAGGATCAACCCAAAACATTTACTAAGAAACATACGGAACCTAAGCCTCCGCCGCCTACAAATCGTTTGACATACACAGAGAGGTAAGGAAAAAAGTAGTAAGATCTAACCTGCAAATTTAATATTCAGTTATGGCTTAAATATTAACAAAAGACAAAGATTTCGAAAAAATTTCAGTTACTGGCCTCGCTGATTTTTTTGGGACCTCTTTAAATTTTTCATTTTTAAAACACTTTTGCCATTTTCACCAGCGATTTAAATGGAAAATGATTTTTTATTTTCTGTCCATTCAAAAAATTAAAATCATTTTTCTCTTAAATTCCTTTCGTAAAATTGCTGTTAGAAAATTAAATCGAAAATCGTCTATCCAAGTAAGACAGAAATTGTCTTATTCACTAGAAAGTAAAAAATCCCTGACGCTGTTCTTCCCTCTGTTGGAAGCTAGCGCCAGATACTAGAGATGAAACGATACGAGTAAATACAAGTACATACTCGATACTTTTCGCCCGATACCAAGTAATTTTGGTATCGACACTGTTGAACCAAGTACTAAGTAAATAGGTATCGAAAAACAATACTGGTATCGAAACCCGATACCAAGGCGAATTTTCTTTCGGAATTTTTCCCCCCACTATTATAAATCACTCAGTGTTCTTGGGGTTTTTAAATGCCACCGGAATATTGAAAATCTTTTTTCCTGAGATACTTTTGCTGTTCTTGCATCGGGAAATGCATTTTCATGGTCACAAAAACAAAAAAATGTATTTAAAAGTTTTGTAACTTCATTCTTAAGGTAAAAGATTATAAAATAGTGATTTTTCTTTTGAAGGTCGTTTTATAATAATAGATTGGCGCTTAAACATATGTATGTATGTTAGGGTTTGGCTGAGCTTCTCCTCCGATTTGCGGCGTGCGCCTTAATGTTGTCCCACAAATGGGAGGAGCTACAGTTTTACGCCGACTCCGAACGGCGATTGTTTTTTATGAGGAGCTGTTTTTCATGGCAGAAATACACTCGGAGGTTTGCCATTGCCTGCCGTGCCTGCCGAAGAGCGACCGCTTTAAAGAAAAAGCCTTTTTTCTATATTTTTTGCGATGCTGCTTTGACTAGGGCTTGAACCCAGGCACTGCGGAGTGTAAGCGCGAACTGCTTACCACCACACAACAGCGGCCATCAGACCTTTAAAATTACTTTCAAGAGAAAAATGTTTAATCTTTTGTCTTTTTTTACCTAAAGACAGCTTGTAACTACATATAGTCATCAACAATTCAAAAGGCCCTGTTTGACAACTTTTTAATTTTAAAGAAGGAAAAAACTCATAGAAAATTGTTAGGTATAGGGCTGTTTAAAAGATGGTATTATATCTCGTATTTTTTAAAATACATATAGGGACCAATTCTCGTCGAAAATGAAAAAAAAACAAGTAAGAAAATCAAAGTTCGGGCGGCGCCGAATATTAAATACTCGGCGCAAGTATTAAATATGTATATGATTTTCACTTTTCCGAAAGCTACATGGTAAGCCGGGGTGTATCAATTTTGAGTAAATTAGCGTCCTTAAGCAAGCATTTCTGAAATTTATCGTTATACGAAGACGGCCTCAATTTTAGTCCGATTTCAATAATTTTCAGCGTTTTATGTGGCAAGCACAATACCCATATTGAGTTTGGTACAAATTGGTAGAACGGTTACCGAGATACATATATGTGATCATATGTGGCCGGTGCCACGCCCATTGTATCATAAACGTATTTCTTGGTAAAGAATTGTCGCAAGCATCAATTTTGAATAAATTAGCTTTAATATTTAATATAATGTATATAATATACATATTTTAAAATTTATAATATCCTTATTTTTCGTCTAAAAATTATTTTAAATATCAATTTTGAGTGAATAATCTTCGGTAGTAACTAAAATATCGAAGATTTTATATTTCTCTAAATTGCCGTTATATGGGAGGTAGGCGTGGTTATTGTCCGATTGTGCCATTTTCAATACCATCCGTCCTACGTCCGAAAGAAGTGCACGTACAAAGTTTCGTTAAAATATCTCAATTTTTACTCGAGTTATCGTGTGCACAGACGGACGGACAGACAGTCATCGCTAAATCGATTTCTCTTTTCATTCTGATCATTTATGTATACATTTGTCTATATCTATCTCGATTCGTTTTGCCTGTTACAAATAACCGTTATGTGAACAAAGTTATAATACCCTTGTGCACAAGTGCGCTCGGGTATAATAAATTTAGTGCAAATTTTAATGTTTCATTTTATCATTTTAAGGGCCAGTTTTTCAATGTCTGGTTATCACTACTTCCCGGTTAAATATTATTATCGACGTTTTCGACATCATGCATGTTGTGGATAAAGCAGTTTTTGTATTTAACCGAAGCTTCTACCTCCAATTAGTGCTAATCAGACATTGAACAACTGGCCCTTAGTGACTCTGGAATATTACAGGAAAACGCATTTCCGGAAATGCGTCAAATAGGGCCTTTTGCATTGATGACGAGGATACCTACTTACTCTTATGTAAAAATAATGGTTGTGTTGCTTTTTACTACTATTTTCTTATTTCACCTTTAGAGATCCCGAAAAAATTAAAACGGAGAAACGTGCCAAAAAGCGTCGCTTTACTACCACAGTGACCAATGAAGTACGCGATAGCAATCGCCCACAGAGCAATAAACTGGTAAAAATGCTACCAGTGTCTCGAGCCCTCACTACGTCCGAGTTTGACAGTGGTTTACCAGCGCAGAAGAAGCGGAAGAAAGCTTGATATTTTCATTTTAGTGTTACTATTTGTATGTATGCAGATTATTTATAAGTACATAAAAATGTGGATTGTTAAAAATGTATTTTTATGCGTGAAACTAATTCTGATACTTACTGAAAGGCTCAACCAAATTGTGTTTTTAAAATGTTTAAAATATAGGCATTTTCTTTAGCTGCTGAATTCGATTTTACATGAATTTCATTTTCCTCTCCTTAGGGCTGGTTAATCAATGTCTGGTTAACACTAACGTCCATAACTATGTTTAGCCGGAAATTAGTGTTAACCAGACATTGAGTAACCGACCCTTAGGGCCCTTTGTCCAATGTCTGGTTATCACTACTTGCCGGTTAATCATCATTATCGACGATTTGGACGTCATGCATATAACATGGGATCGATAAAGCAGTTGTTGTATTTAACCGGAGCATCTACCTCGGATTTGTATTAATCAGACATTGAACAACCGGATCTAAATTGCTGGTGTTCGATAACTTGATAATTATCACACATTATCCGGATTTGGTGGTCCGGTATGCAAAATTTTGGAAAGTGGAAGAAATTGAAAGCGCAAGATGACAGTTGACTTTAAGGGGAAGTTGCTAATTCGTACTGGAAAAATTTCTACTAAGTATCAGCAATTTCGCAGCAAGAAATACAGCTGATCAAAGTCTTCCATTTACTAGTTAGTCTGTTCCTTTGAACTTCGGACTAAAACCTGTGGAACTGTCAAACTACAATTTTACTCTCTCAATTGAGAGTAAAAGGAGAACAGATGCAGAAGTGCATAGGAACGCAAAAAGCACTATTTCCTGTAAAAACGTCAGTCGGTTTGTTTACATGTCATTTGTACAACACTGATTTAGCTGAAATATCACTAAATAATTATTAAAATCTATACATATTCAAACATTTCGTTGTTTACTTCCTTTTTTTTTACAAATATAAGGTACTTTGCTTTCACCGCTGTTAGTTTTTGCTTGCACATGCAAATCAGCTGATCGTTTGACACTTTTCATGAACTTACAGGAAAAGCAACTCCGGACTAAATCCTGTAACTTCTGACTAGGAACAGTTGCTCAGTTACTCTCTCAAATGTGTTCCCACTTACAGGTTTTATGTCAATAGGAACGACTTCCTGTAAGTTCTGACTAAATCCTGTAAACCGGACTGCTATTGGAACAGACTAGTATAGTAGTATAAGGAAATAATGAATTGTATTTTAATTATGCTTCAGTTTAAAATAACTTATGGTGACTTTTCATTGCCCCTTTAACGTGTTAATAGCCAAAATTGAGAAGACCACATAGATATTGCATCATTAGCTGTCTGACAAAGTCACTACGTCGCTGCCAGCATATGCCCGCTTTAGCTAGGATAGGTGCGTTGGATTGTTGTCCCTAAGCTTTTAACTTGTTTGCTAATGAAGTAAACTGTTGTCTTGTTGGCCAAACGAAGACACTTGCAAGTGTAAGTAGGAGTAATGAAAATCCTTCATTTCAACAACATTTTACGTGCTTCTTTTCAGAAAACTGTAATCAAACAATGAAATCCTGCTAGACGCGGCAGGTGCAACCGAAGTTAGATAGTCTATAAAAAATATTTTGCTGCGCTTAATGCCGTAGTAATTTCTTACTTAGTCGTCTTCTTTGCATGTTATGGGGTTTAGTCGCTCCGTGTGTGAGAAAGTAATAGCTCCTTGGTTGACGCGACTATCTGCAGCCGCAGCTGTCGGATGCTTCGGGGGGACAAATGTGCCTTGTGACTGTGAAAAAGTTTGTTTCAAATTTATTATTTTTGTTTGAGAGTAGGTTGTAGCATTTGTATTAAAAAAGTTATTAAATAGCCATTAAAAACTTAGTGCCTGAAGATACTTCAGTTAAAAGCGAACGTGTGTTTTAGTTTTGTAATATCTCGCTATTTTTTTGTCTATGCTCCTATGGTAAAAACTGTCATTAATATGTACCAAAGACCGCACTTTACTGCACGAAGTATTCGCGTCGAGTGAGCCAATTCTGGCGTCAGCACATTCAGCTGTTACTCTACATACATATGTACGTACACAAGGAGTATTCTCTGGCGGAAGTCACTTTCCATAAATAAAATAAAATTGCACAGCTCCATGCTGCTATTAGAAACAAAACGAGATACATATGTATGTATGTATCAGACATCTGCAGCGGGTGCATGATTTTCGTGTATACTCGATCATCTAACAAAACCCGTTTTGCATCGTTCTCTGTATACGAGCAGAAGTATTGTTCGTTATCGACTGAGCTCAAGACGAACATGTTGGCCACAACACCCGATTGCTTTTCATACATACTTGATTGGGTTCGGGTGCTTTGCAGCTCAATATACCCGGGAGTTCGAGTTTCAACCCGAGTGTGCACAAAATTTTCTTGATTGGCTTATGACGTTTTTGTTTCTACAAAAAATGTTGCCTTCTCATCGCGGTGCTCTTAGTTTTTGTGCGTAGAGGGTAAAGAGAAGGTTGAATTTTTCGGTAGTTTGTTTAAGTGTACATTTAACCATTTCTTATATTTTTGCTCATACAAAATGCGGCATCACGACGCCCACATCCATTTAGGTATAAATGTGTGTAGATCGGCAATGCCCAAGCCCTATACACTCGGAGCACATTTATTTTTTGTAAAAGTATTTATGTACCTACATAGTTTTAGGCTGTGTTCTAATATATACACACACAGCTTTCCACGCGAAACTATACGAAATAGATGCAAACACATTTTTGTCTACTTCGCTTCTAATTTTTTCATTGCGTATGCACAAGCACAAAGCAACAACATTTTCGTATGCTTTGTGGGAACATATTGGCGCCAGTTACCTTCAGCGTAAATTTCTTTGTTGTCCTGCATTTTATCGCAATGTTCGGGTGTCCGTTTCATTGTTACACAAATTTTCGGGTTAGCTGCGGGTGTCCGAGTGTGGTGTTCGCTTGTGCTCAATTTATAGCGAGGGTGATCGAACAGACTCGTTCGTAACCAAAGCAGCTGTCGGGTATGCATCTCGATCGAACACATAGTAGCCGAGTGTGGCGTTCGCTTGTGCTTGATTTTTAGTGAGTGTGATCAAAAAGGCTCGATCATACTCAAAGCTGTTCTCTGGTATGTATGTATGGCTCTGATGATCTTGTTGCAGTCATGATACGCTTCCGCCTCTGTGCAGCGAAAAATATGCGTCCAACAATGCAAGGAAAGCATAATAGCCCAGTTATGCATACTTAGCTTTGCATGAGAGTTGTCGCATAAGAATTTATTAAATGGGCTTTGCGTGTAAGCGGCTACCTAAACATGTAGAATTCTCTTGGGGTTTGATATTTACGTAAAAATGGTATAGCCCTAAGGGCCGGTCGGAGACGTCGATAACCTATTCCTCCAAAAAAATATAGCTAGCTTTGAGTTTTTTGAAATTACAGTTACGTGGGTGGAGCCCATGGTTTTTGTCCAATTTAAAAAAAAAATGTCAACATGGCGCTTAAGAAGTCTTTACCAAATTTAGTTGAGATCGGTCAAGTAGTTTTTGAGATACGCATATATCATATACATAAGTGGGCGGTGCCACCTCCATTTTCCTAAAATTTCTTGAAAAACCCGCTTTTTTGCTAAAGAGCGATTGTATATATCAATTTTGAATAAATATTGATGAACTCCTTAGCCACACTGCTTAAAAATCTGAAATTCCGGTACATACACACATATGAACCCAAAGCCATATTTAAGAGAAGTCGCCTAAATTCGACAATTTTAATGCGATTGCAATAAATGGGGTACTAGTTCAGTTGAAAATAGATTTAAGTTTAGATAGTACTCCATATTTTTTAGAAATTTTGTAGAAATTTAAAAAATTTAGAGAAATAGGTATGGGTCTTTTTTTTTTAATTTACGCGATAAAAAATGGCAACAAGCCTAGTCCGGCAATAGATTATTATATACTATTTTAAAGGCCTATATATCCTCTTCTCAGAGCATATTCGATCTTTGAAATCGAATCAAAAATAGTCATTCAAAAACTGGTAAATCCACAAAATCCTATTTTCTGACCTAAATCGACAGGTCGTGACCTCTGAAAACCTTTGAAAAATCTATAAAAATAGGTAATAATATTTCTCATTAAAACGAATAAAATTAGGGGGTAGGGTCTTGAAATTTCGAAAAAAAAAGCATTTTCGATTGGCACCCTAATGTACATACATACATACATATGTAAGCAGCTTCATTTCTAATTCTGGAAAAATGTAAATTATTCCAATATTTCCTTAAACATTTAACTGACACAAGCTGTACGCATACACTCGCTCCTTCAAACTTACCCCCATAAATGCATGTATGTATGTACATTAAAGTGGTCCAAAAATGTATGTAACAAAAATAAAGTCGCATTTTTAAAGCCGCCAGCCCCTAGGATTGTTCTATTACAAAAAAAAATATACCCCTATTTTTTATTTTGAAAAAAAAAAAACAAATTAGGGTGTGCTGAAAGCGCTCAAAGTTTTCAATGTATTTAATATGGGGAAAAACAACTTTTCGTAGAAATAGTGTAGAATTCTTGAAAATCAATATTTTTCGATCGGAAAAGTTTGCTTATCTTCAGGAGATTCCCGGTAATAATACCCAATTTTTCCTTCAACAATTTTGTCATGTTAACTATATTTTATAGGTCCTAGAATATGCAGTGGGGGGGACCAAAAAAAAATCTGTAATCATAAAAAATGGTTAAATGAACAATTGGATAATAATATTTGAAGTCTCCTGAAGAGAACCACGGTTTTACGATTGAAAAATATTGATTTTCAAGAGTTTTATACCATTTTTACGAAAATTTGTTTTTTCCCCATATAAAATACATGGAAAACTTTGATATTTATTTTCGGCTCAGAACAATCCTAGGGGGTGGCGGCATTAAAATTCCGACTTTATTATTTTGGACCACTCTAATGTACATATATTTATGTGAAAAATGCCGTTGAAAAAAAGAAAAAAAAACTTTAATTAAACCAACAATCGTTTCTCAGCTTTGCCTTTTCATGTACAAAGCACCGCATTTTTTACCCTTCAACACATTTTACAAAGCAACAAAAAATCATTCAACAAAAGAAATAATAAAGAAATGGTTTGCACTAAAACCGCAAAAGCCAA